TTCCCATCTGGGAACCTCTTTAATGCTGGCAGTGTGAGAGACCCCCTTGGCCGAGGTATCTGCTGCTTTCATAAGTTTGAGCATGTGGATGTTAGCTTCTTCTACGTTAATTGGATCTAACGGTGGCGCCTTTTGATCAAGATCTGGTCGTTTCAAACACGTAGCTCTGTCTTCGTCGACAGAAATATACGCAAGGTAAGCCTTGGAAATCTGAGCTTTCAAAACTGCCTCCAGATGAGCTAATTCCGTGTTGGATGGTAGCAAATCCTCAACTTCCACCTGGGCTGCTTCAGCCGCCTGCATTGCTGCCTCAAAAGCCGAATAGGAGAAATCTTCCTCGGTAAGATTAGCAATTAGACTATCTGATATGAGATGATTGTAACCAGTAGAACCGTGAAACAAGGTCGAGTTCTTCTCCACTCGCTTTGTATGGATCCGCTCTTGAAAATCAATATTATCAACACATAGGAATGGCTGAACGACAAAAAGATTTGCCATTGTATCTTTCAGGTTTTGTTCGGCAACTTTTCGAAGATTATCGGCAACTCGGAGAGCAGTCTTACGAGACACCGACAAGCCGTGAAAGTGTAGAAACTCATTAAGACGTTCAGAGGCACCACAAGCCAGAAATGTCATAGCATTATGGATCTGCATCTGATTAGCACGACGGTTACACACAAAAGCAACCATTGCACATATGGTTGTTGGAACCTATGCAGAAGCGTCAGAATTCAGAGTGGGCAGTATCAATATTTGTGAACCATCAAGGTGAACTTACTGCCTGAGCTTGTAACGTTTTTAAATTTTGGTGAGTTTTTGGCTTGGCAAATTCTACATTTTCTAGCTCATCCCCGACTTCGTCCCCCAATTCTCCATCGTCTTTTTTTGCTGATTCCTTGTCGGAGCCCTGGTCCGTGTCAACTTCTTCATTGTCAGATGGTTGTATGCTTGATAAGATCTTTGCATTGATCAACTTGTATAGAAAAGGCATCGAAGTTTGAAGGTCTTTTTCCCAAGTGTGATTCTTCTCTTCTTCAAAGAAATCTACTTTGATGTCACCCGAGCTATAATATGAACCCTGCGGAGCCATCCCTTTTGGAGGATCCTGAGATTGAACAATTCGTTTAGCCTAGTGAATTGTGAACATCAGGTGTTAGCTCTTCATACAGATAAGCAACAGTAGCAGGAGACTTTCCTCATCGAGGATGAACTCATTACACAAGTTATCACCTCCGTCCTGCTTGCACACCAATTTTCTGATACTCAATAGAACTTCCAGAGATGATGGCCATCCTTCACTAGTTCCCCATTTTCTTCGCCTGTACGCGAGGTCCATGTTGTCAGCTAGGAAATAGCAATGCATAAAAGTTTTTGGTGTAATGTTTTTTTGGTTCTTGAGATGCTTGCACACAGCAATAACCTCCTCTATAAGAGAGGAAGGAAACTTTTGCACAGGGTGCACCATTGACTTGTCCTTCATCTTCTGACTGATTGAAGGCGATGAAAAATTGATGAAAAAATGGATTCAAATATGGAATCAATGAAAGATGGATATCTGTCTGCCTGATTGCTGCCGATAAAGTGAGCAGTTATAACTTGGGCAGAACCACTTACGAAGCTCAGGCACTCACTCTCCAAATCCCTTTGGGTTAATCGCTGTAGGCTCAACTGTTGTGTTTGGAACTAGTGCATCTTTCAAACAAGCCGCCCTTTCATGTGATCACTTCAAAGGACAAGATTACGCTTGCTTTACGTATTCTTAATGGGGCCGCTTGATGCAAATAAATGACTCGATGGATGGAAAGGCAAGTGTACCCCTAACAATCAATGGCTTGATGCAAATAAAAGACTCGATCACAAGCAAAGTGTCACACCTTGCTGCACATCACTGCTATCACAGCCCCCAACTACTGGTCACTGGCAGGCCAGTACATCCGATGTCTCCAAAATGTTTTCAACAAAACTTCAATTGGTTTTCAGCAT